TTTACTGTTTTTTTGTTTGTTTGTTTCTTTCTTTCTTTTTCCTGATGTCCTTTGCTTTTGTGAAAATTGTCTTGTTGATAGGTAGAGCTTTGGTGGTGATCTTATATGTAAAATAGTTACTTCTTACAGACCAGAAATAGTTTACTCATCTTAGAATTGCAAGATTTTTGTGTTTTCATGAATACAGACTTTGTTTTGATGGCTATCAGTACTTATTAGTTAAACTTTTGTAGCATTTCATGGGAAAAAGTTTAAGCTAAAGAGTTTAATTTTCTTGATTTAGGGTCATCTACTTTAATAATTCAAGGGGCCTCTAAGTTCAAGGACCAAGCCCTTTGTTCTAGAATTGTGATAAACATGGAAATACTCTTTTCTTAATAGGTATAGTAGGTATTTCTAAGGTAGATTAACATAGAAGGCTCCTAGAATTTAAATGTCCTTATCATGACATAGCAGTTAAAGTTATGGGACTGGTGGCATATTCACCTTGACTAGCTCAAACAATGATGACCATCATCTGATGACTTATTAGACATATGTTGGGTCAAACTCCCATTAAGCTGAAGTGTGTTAGCAATTTCTAATGCAGGTAGTTGGTGGCACTTGACCTACCTCTTTACCATCTGGTATTTCTTTCTCCTATCCTCCTTTTTCCTTGTTTCTCTCTTCTGTTTCATTCTTGCTGTAGGCTTACCAGTGGTATTCATGCTTATACCCATCAGAGAGACGTAATAAATCGCTGACCTCCTACCTTAGACTATAGCTAACTGATGATCCAGAAAGACTGCTGTATTATGAGGTAATTGGGCAATTTTTTTCTGATTGCTGTTTTCCCCATACTCTTAAGTTGGCAGTTTGAAGAGTTTCTAAATTAACGCTTTTTAAGAAATTTGTGAATTGAAGAGAGTAAGAAGCACGTGTATTTTAGGTAAACTACTAGGAACTGACTTGTCGATTTGGAAATTTGAGGGCAGAAAGGGGAGAGCTGTTTAATGTGGTTGTACATTGGAGTATGAGAGGTATATAGGGTTTGGAGGTAAAGTGGGAGGAATTTTTATTGGAGGTAGGAAAAGGTACTAAAGTGGAATCTGAATGAGAGTTATTTGTTAAGGATTTATGAAGTTCATTAAGGAAGTTTTAGTAAAGCCAGAGAAAATAGGTCCCTCTTTGGTTATGAGAAAACTTGTTCTGTAGCTAAACTTATGATGATGGTGAAGATGATGGTGATGCAAAATACAAATCTGTTTTCATGTGTAGAATGTTTGCTTTGGGACAAATAAAGTAACACAGTTGGAATGGCAGCTTCTCTAGTCAAGGCAAATGGGTGTTGGGGACTTATTTTGAGAAAAAAAGATAAGAAAATTTTAAACTTTTTCAGACTCCTTTTTCTTATGGTAGTGTTATAATGTGGTTTACCTTTACTTTTCAAAATGGGTCCTTAGATCAAATTACTTGATTTTGAGCCTTCCTCTTCCTTGCTTTTACAGAACTTTGAGCCTTTGGTCCACATGCATTTCTTAGAAGATGGCAATAAACTAAGTAAAAACACTGAATTGCATTTAGGTATCTTTCCTATTTCTTTTACATTTGCAACCTTAGCAACCATTTAACATTGTGATCATAAAAAGCCCTCCATAATATTGTTTCTGAAATTAGACTACATACCCATCCAAACTCATTTCAGTTTGTTTTCCCACTCTCTCTCTTTCTTAGAATTCCCGAAATCAGTGGTGGCAGATGTTGATAATAGAATTTAGTACATCCTGGAGGTTCTTTTGTCCTTTGGAGAGTGATAATGTTTAGATTTGTGTTCCCATTATCCCAGGATTTTAAATTATTTAAGATATAGAATTGCTATAATATTCGTTGCTAAAGTTATGATTCACGTATATTTTTGGATTAACTCTTTGTTGTCAAATTTAGTATGGATTAATTCCCAGTGATTTTTGACAGATTACTTTCAAGTTTCATTTTACTCAAATCTCTATACATTAGTGATAACAATCTGTCAAAATAGCCAAAAAAGAAGTTCTGGTTTTGTTCTTAGAAGGTAATTTTTCTTTTTTTATGAATGTCAAGGTCATTAACAATAGCAAGATTATTTCTGTTATAGCTTATTTTGTAGAGTTGGTATTTAGTATAATTTTCACATTTTACTGTGTGTCAGATTTTAAATTATAATACAGTTACACACTATAATTTATAAGTTGGTGCAGAGCCTTCTTAAATAGCCCCTCCCTTAGGAATCATTTAAAAAGAAGTGAATTCCCAAACCTGTGTCAAGAACAGTCATTCAAATGACTGTGAGACAAGTCTCTGAAAGGCTTCCTTGTCTATAGTCAGTGGAGATAAATATAGCCCATTTCCATGCTGCATACAGTTGTTAGAGTTTATAAAGTTGTCAATATGTAAAAATGCAAAGCAGGAAAGACAATGCAAAGTTGCCTATAAAGTTTCTAGTTTTCATAATTTGCACTATTTATCATTGCACTTGATTTTTTGAAAGTTAAGACTAGTCACTTTCACTTTTGTTTCTAATCTTTTCTAAAATTTCTTGTAGAGTTATTTTCAGTATCCCGCCCAAAGCAAAACTTATATGCAATTAAATATGCTTTATAAGGCCAAGAAAATATTTCTTACTGTTAGCTATATAAGACATAAAATTTGTTTTGATAAAATTTTTAATATGGGCATTTATTTGCCAATAAAATTCTTTGTACTTGTGAGCTTTATTAAACTGTTTAAATAGACAAAGTGAAAACTTAGGTAGGATATATATATATATATATGTGTGTGTTATATATATATATGAAATGATGTCTTCGATATTCAACTTCCAGCCTGAGCTGGCTTGATTTTGGAGTATTGGTCTGTTTTCACTGAAGTCAGTGAGATCTGAGTTTAGCTGGGTACATGCTTAATTAAAAAGAAAGTGAAGTACAAGTGGCAGCTCCCTCTTTCATGTAGTTTCCCATAATGTTCATATAGTTTCTTCCGGAGCTATATGATATAACTGATATTGAAGTAATTATATTAAATGAATATTCCTTTTTGGAATTCAGGGTTGACTCACTTTTTGAGGAGGGAGGGCAGCAAGGGGTAAGAGACTTTAACCAGGAGGCAGTCTTATAATCTCAAAGATGTATTCTATAAAGAAAACAAAAAGTATACCTGTGAACATATTTTGTGTCTTAGTGAGATTGTGGAACACAGTGAATGCTCAGAATTTGGGAAAAAAGTTGACAATTTTGTCAATAAAACAGAAAGATGTGTTTTGTCTAAAATTATTTTGGTAAGTTATTTAATTATTATATGCCCTTTCTCATGGCTTTTTACACACTTCATACATACTTAAAACCAATAAGTGACAGAGGCCTCTTTTCAGACTGGGTTATTTTTGGAATGCCTGAGTGTGTTTCAGGATAGTGGGGTGGTGTTTTAATTCTTGACATGCTCTTCTCAGCATGTTTTGCTAGTCATTCTGGATCTTATGTTTGCAAATTCTGTTGAAAATTCAGTGAGGTATTTGAAATGAGAATGTCTTCTATGACATAGTATGAGTGTTTGCAGCCATGTTTCATTATGGAGCCTTGTGGCTTTGTTTTTATTTTGAGTAGAACATTTAACCTCCATTGTTCAGATTTTAGGTTTATCTAGTGGAATTGTGCCAGGTAGTTGTCTAAATATGGATCAATTTGGGAAATGAAGGTTAACAAATGTGTATTTGACTCTAGATAATCCTGTATTCAAGATTATAAATTAAAGGCTCACATTAGAGTTATCTAAGTATTATGTTGTCAAATACTTGAGTGTGAATGATGTTTGATATGTTATATCTGAATTTCCTTTAGGAAAAGAGAAAAATTCAGTCTCTAAACCTTTTTTTGGAGAGTAAGTTTATCACATATGGAAAATGAAATAATTTTAGAAAGTGGCTTTGATTATTTTTTAATGGAGTTTAACCAGCTTAATTAATTATTTTTCCTAAAGACTTATTTCCCAAATGTTCATAAAGAGAAAAGATCAGCAATTTGTGCTCCCCACCCCCTTTTTTGATGCCATTTAGTTTTCTGCTACTATTTCTCAATCCTAGTATAAAATGAATTACGGGTATCCCTTGAAGTTCCTGTAACCCTTTTTTGGGGGTCACAGATACCTTTGATAATCTGATGGACATGATAGACCCTCTCCCCAGAAAAAAAATGCACATACACAGATAATTTTGCATATAACCTCAGGGGCATCACATATCTTCTAAAACCAAGTTAAGGAATCTCTGCTTAAGTAAACTCTGTGGAAAATTTTAATGCAAATAATTGCTAAAACTAGAAACTAATGGCTTAAAACATTTCAGATTGGAATTATTGTTTGATGGTGGCCCCTACTCACAAAATGTGACATTGCAACCAGCTTTGTTAGACATTGTAACATCCAGACAGAAAGAAAAAGAAGCAAAGTTCTGAGAGCTATTTATAAAGAGTCAGGGCATCTCTAGAGGAGGAAGCCATTTTTGGTTCAAGACAGGGGTCAAGATGCCTGACAACTTCTAGCAGGGTAGAGTTTGATAAACCATAATGCTCAGGATGCCAAGGGGTTAGCCATTATCTTAACCCCTTCCTCACCAAAAGATTTTAGTTTTGTCTATTGGGAAACAAGATGTCACTAGGGAAAAAATGATTTGCCTTACAACTTTGCTGGAATACATCAGTTTGGTGATGTTATGGGACACTAGTATTATTTTTGAGAAGGTGCATAAAACCAAAGTAAATTATTCTCTATGTAGAACATTATTTACTAGTAACATTTGTTTGGGTGTATTAGCTTTGATAGTTTTTAACAGCAAATATTGTTTTATTTTAAACTGAGAATCCACTTTATAAATAGCATAATTGATATATCTGTTCTTTCCCCCATTTAAAGAATAGTTTCAAGATTTATGTATACTTTTTACTTTTCTCTCTTGATGCCATGGGATGGGGTGGGTGGGTGGGAAGAGATCTTTGAGTCAACAACAGCAAAATTTCTTCTTCAAATTTAAAAATTGAGAAGCAGCACTTTAAATCTAACTCTACACCCTTTTATTGCATGTATTAGTTTTAATAATGATTTTTGGTGCATGCCTTTGGGCTTATTCAAAAATGTACAATAGGAAAGTATATTTCCTTTCTTAGAAAGGAGATGTTTTTCTACTTTGCAACATGTGATTACAAAAATCTTCCTCTGTGGGAAGATTAACCATGTATTGAACTACTGAAAAGTATATATTTTTAGATATACAGAAGGAATCTACATGGAGCAGCATTCAGACCTATATAGAAGTCATAGCATTCTGTATAGGATCAAAAAGGAGGTAACATTAAACACTTAAACAGACTTTGTTGGGTAGAAATACCTTTAGATCTTGCATTGACTTCCAAAACGAAAATGCCACAGAAGTTTGATGAAAACTTTTGTTGTTTGAATTTTCTCTGTCAGTGTATTTAGCCCAAATATGACAGCTTTGGGTTAGCACATACATAAGAATCATAAAAACAAATCTAACTAAATAGATCAGACTGGTTTGTCAATCCAGTTTAACTGAATTAAGTAAACTAATCACTTGCAACATGAAAAACTGTCCAACTCCTCTAAGGTTTTGACAAAATAACCTTGACTAATGTGGGAAGACTCCCACTTTGATTTCTGACCTGACAGTGAAGATTCATGTTTGACATGATTTCAAACCTGACAGTGTCTGTTTAAGGAGCTATGGTACAGTTTGCTAATTCAATCCCAGATACCTGTTGATTACCTGTGAGATCTAGAGTCCAAAGTAGCCAGCAGCCATATCCCTGAGTGCTCTGTGCCCATCAGATAACTTAAAGTAAGCAGGGTTGGGACAGGTCACAGCTCGGATGATTGACCTCAGAAGCTGTAGACAGCCCCAGATTCAAGAATTGTATCTGCTTTCTTGGGAGTCGTCACTGAACTAATGTCCCACACTGTTAACTGTAGATGCTCTCTCTTAGAGGAGGCCCAGAGCACACATCCTAATCGCTGTGGTATTCAGAGAGGGGGTGCTAACTCTGATGCCCTGGCCAAATTCCAGTTTAGGGATGTGGGTCTTCTTGTCATTCTAATTGGAAATGTGCATCACTTCCCATTTTTCCTATTGATCTCAGTGCAAACTACACTAGTCTGTTTCTTTGCCCTGGTCTCAAGTCTCTAAGATGCTGGTGTGTATTATATGGGCCAAGTTCATGACTTATCCTAATGCACAAGAGTCAAATGAGTGAACTTGCTATCAAAATGCCATATGGCAGGAGAGTGGACTCTTGTGATGCTATGGGGATGAAATCGGCCCTCTTGTAGCATAAGTTGGGGAATGGCACCGGTTGGAGGCTTCCAGCCATGAGGTGTGAGCTGAAACCAATTTTCCCTCTTTTCTTATAGCATGTTGAGAAAAATCTGTTGGGTTTTCAGCAATCAGGGAAGGCCGGAGTTCTGCAGCTTTAATCTGGGTAACTGAGGCTGGTTTGAGCAAGACTTTGGTTAATTAACTGGGTTCTCAGATGCCACAGACTCCGTGAGAAGTCACCATTATTTTCAATGGTTGTGATAGAATTTCCCCTAGTAGTCATTATTTTAAGATTATATTGCAGAGTTGCTTTATTTTGAACTTTTTGTGTATACACAATCCCAAACTGGAAGAAATTTTAAAAAAAAAAAGGAATCCTGCTGTGAAAGATATATATTACTCTAGATTTTTCTTACTGTAAATATTGTAAGATTGTAATACTGTCAATATTTTATTAACCAACAAATGTTAATCTATGTGAATTCAGACTTATTTTAAATGTGCTTCTTATTTACTGTGTGTGGTCCCTGTTGCTGACAGTATTAAGTTATATTCTGATGTAAGTTTAACTTTATTAAAGAATGTAAACATTAATGTTTCCTTATGGGAAAACAAATAAAGTATAAAGAAGACAATTCTTTTCATTGAAATATACTGTGTATTTACACTTGCTAGACCCAGCACCACTTACAAATTTAGTATACCTTTCAGAATTTTAGTTAACACAGCTGACATGGTGTGCTCTGTTTGGAAGTCTCAGACTAGGTATTGTTGGAATATCAACAGTTTGTATTTGTCTGCTGTGAATCATAACCTTGAAATTTCTAATCAAATTTGTAAAATTTTTATAGTAAAACATTTTAATGACAGTTTAAAAAGTTATCTTCTCTAAAGAATGATCAAAATAATATCCTTTCAGAAGTAGAATTGTTCTTTAATATCTTTCCAAAATGACTTTGGTTAAATGGACCAGATGTATCTTAGTTAAAATTTAGGACTAAGTTGTTGATATTCTTTGAGTTTACAAGTTAACCCTTATTGGAGATGTGCCAATATATAGTAGAATATTATTCATTTGCACTGTTTGGGGACCCCATTTAAGAATGCTGAATTTTGCCAACTAAGAAGTAAGCAAATGCAATTTAAAAAGTAAATTTGAGCATTCTGTATTAAATATGTGCAGTTATTATCACATGAAGAAGCGCAGTGTGTCGGGCTGTAATATAACCATATTTGCTGTCATGTTCTCCCATCTCAGTGCTGGGAACTTACCATGTGGAAACCAAGCAAACGTGTTGTGCATCAGCCGGCTTGAGTTTGTTCAATATCAAAGCTGAAACTAGCGAGGTCTGCTGTACTGCTTATTGAAGTATTGTGATTCTTTTAGGCATTGATTCTTACAAAATATATACTGTAACAGTATACTTTGTACAGATTTAAATTTTATTTGAAAAAAATGAATAAAGTAGGCAAAAAAAAATAAAGATGTTTATTTTTCATGTGACTATATAAACAGATCAGTCTTTTGTTTCAGTGCTTTTGGGGGGGAGGGGTCTGGTTGTTCTTGGACTTTGTTATTTTTTTGATAGATGGAAACCATTTTTAGGACTCAATAGCAAGTATACTTGCCTGTTGATTCTGATCATTAATTGGCTGCAAGCATTAAGTGTGCTTTCTCACACTGGAAAACTGTTTTTAGTTTTATTTCAAAAGAGGTTTGTTTCTGTTTTTAAGGTCTTACACAAAGAGCCCTTCCCTATTTGCCTTCTTAGGTCAGATTTTTAAATTCTCTGATGGTGTGATAGTTAATCTAGTCATCACATTGAAGAGAAGAAAAAAGTCTTCCCAAAGATCATGTTCCTTTCCCATGAAAGGTGTTTTGTTTTCTGTCTCTTTTTTTTTTAAAGTTCATTTTAAATTTGAAGTTGGTTTGGGGTACTGAAAGAGTTACAAGAATCCATGACAAAAGATGAAGAGAATCCTCTGCAGAAAATAGAGGCTGTGCTTTAAAATAACATCCCTTTCAAAACTGCTTTTCCAGTGAGTAGAATGGCAGTGAATGAAGTTACCAATAAAAACATACCACAGGAGTGGTCCTTCAGGATAGTTTCAATGAGGCTTCCCCATACAAGAAATTATCTGACCAAAGAGAACCACCCTAGTTTTGACCTCTAACTCCAAAACCAGTAGTTGCTTCAGGAGGCTCAGGTATATGATATTTTCCTTAACCTTTGGAAGTGGAATTTGCAGCATTACTTGTGGCTTTCTCCTTTTATTTTATCTTTTTTGATGCTTTAATTTACTAAGCTGGGTTTGAGGAAGGCTTGGGGCAAGTAGTTCTCCAAGTTTCCTGGCAAAAATCACAATATGGAAAATCTTTTTTCTTTCCTTTTCTGCTATAGTGCACATGTCCCTCTGTCTCAGAAAGAGGAAAAGTGAGAAATCACCCCACAGGGGGATGGTCATGCTATAATCCCCTCTCCTCCACTCTTTTCTCAGGATTTGGGCATACATGTGCACACAACCAGTGTGTTTTTGCCTAGTCTGAGACTTGAACCATGCAGTTGGCAATGTGGGATCCAGCTGCTTTAACCACCATGCCACCTGGCTGGCCCTTCAGTATTATGTATTTATTTTAATTTTAAGAATTATTTTATTTATTTACTTATTTTAATAAGTGAGAGAGACTGAGAGCAAGAGAGAACAAGAGCTTGAGAAAGCAAGCAAAAGTGAGAAAGCAAACCACCAGGTCTGGGATTCAAACCACGGTGGGCCATGTGGGAGTCCAGTGCCCTTAACCACCATGCCACCTGCTGGTCCCTCTTCAGTGTTATTTAAATAAATATGACAGTGGTTATATCCTAAAAACTGATGCATGACCATAGCTTACAATAGATAGATCTAGGCTTCCCTGGATAATCTCAAGATAATTGGTTATTGTGATTTTTCTCTCTTCCTTTTTTTTTTTTTGGTTTGTCTTGCTAAAATGGCCCTTCTTTGTAGAGAACCAACAGGATTGGAAAAGCTTCCATATCTGACAACTGCCCACTCTTAGGAAATATAATGCAGAAACTCTGCTTAATTAAAACTTAAAGCTGGGGGCCAGCAGGTGGCATGATGGTTAAGGCGCTGGACACTCCCATATGGCCGATCATGTTTGAGTCCTAGACCTGGTGGCTTGCTTTCTCTCTCTCTCTGATCAAATTAAAATAAAATAAATGAATAAATAAAATGAAATAAATAATTATTTAAAAAAAAAACTTAAACCTGAAGGTACCCCTTTTGGAGAGGTAGGTGAAGTGCTTAAAAACTCATGTTTTCTCTGAGCTCTGCCTCTGATTTGGGGGGGGGAGGGGAACACAAATAACAGGCTGGTACTTCCTGAAGAAGAGACCAGTTTCTCCTCTCTCCTCAAGGTAGGATCAGGTAAATCCCTGGGTCTTTGTCTGAAAGGAGGCTGTCAAGTATAGGAGCAAGTGGTGGAAACTCTAGTCATGATTTGCTCCAGTTAAGTATAAGAGAGTGAAAAGCTGAGAGGCAAGCCCCTTCCTAACTGTCCTGGCCTTAAAATGTTTTACAAATTGGTTTTAATTGTACTTTTTTAAAAAAACAAGAACACAGGAGAGAGGGTGGAGGAGAAAGAGGTATTTTTGATAGGATCTCACCATGGCACTGTGTCCTCTGTCCGAGCCTCCCAGCTAGCTAGCATTGCAGGCAACAGCTGGTCCATTCAGATTGATCCAGGATCTGAACACAAGCCTCTGATGTGACTCCAGCCCCATAGTAGGGCCCCCTAATACTTTTATCACCATGGTTGGGCCTATGGGCTTTATCTTTAAAGACTCCAAGTGGAACCATGATTACATATACCCAGTGGCCAGTGTGGAAAGCAAGAAGTCCTGAAGTGAACACCTACTGCAAAGCTGCCGGCAGAACTTGCAGACTTAGGATAGATCTGACTTACAGGGCAAGACTAGTAGGGCCTTAAGCCCCTCAAACAAGGAGCCCAGCATGCTCAAGCAGAACTACTAGACATTTTTCTTTAGTGCTTTATTTTCTAAGGTGACGTAATTGACAATCTTTTTCTATCTCAATCTTCAGTGGATATCAACTTTTACTTAGCCATGTGCTATGCAATTTATTTTGGCTTTTTTGCATGGTTTTAAAAAATCTCTTTGTTCCTATTTCCAGTAACAATTTCTTTCTAAGTAGATAAGACTTTTTATTAGGTTGTTGGAAAAGACATGACCCATTTTTGCAATGAAAAACAGAAAAATACTTCATGACTTTTCTGACACCCAATAATTTGGGGTACTGGTTTTTGGAAAAGGTTCCACTCATTCAGGATCAGAGAAATCTCTGTGTTAGTGTTTGACTGCTAGGTCACCTCAGGGTCAGCACATACCTCTACTGCTCTCATTTCAGCACCTTCTTCCACACTTTAGGAACTTCAGGAGGAGGAGCCACATTCCCCCCCACCCTGAAAATGGGAATCTCATCTTTATATTGCAAATCTCTATAACGTTTCCAGTAACATCAATCCAGTTTTCCTACTAATACTGATTTTCATTCACTTTGATCTGTTCAAATCATGCCATTTGGCACTTAGGTTGGCACTGAGAAAATGTCACAAAACAGACTCACTGAATGTTATAGTGTTTAAAAGAGTAGAATATCCCAACTTACAGCCTACAGGATTGTCCAGTTAACCCCATTATCCTAGACATCCTGACTCTTCCTCCATGTTCAACTCACAGCTCAGACCTTTGTCAGCCTCCTGTGGATATTGACAGTAGCTCCAACCTAATTCCACTTTCTTCCTCTGGCAGTTGCACTAAGGGTGGACCTACACCACGATATTGTAAATGTTTCCAAGCCCACCACTTTTTATTTTGTAAACACTTGAGTACTTAAAATATTTAAGGCACCAAGTGTTTTATTCATTTCATTCTTACTACATATGAAATAGGCGCTTTCAGCCCCTTTTTTATACATGAAGACACTAAAGCATAGAAAGAATAAGTAACATGCTCAGTGTTCCACAGTCAGAATACATTAGTTGATGTCAAAGCACATCCATGCTTTCAATCACATCCTAATATATATTGTTTTCCCTGTGAGGTTCTGCCTCTTTATCCCATAATTTGTAGGGACTCCCTAACTTTGACATTGTCTCACCTCAGGATGTACTTAGCAGGATGCCAAAGCCATCTGTAGCAAAGGAAGATTCCTCTGCATTGCTCAGAAGCCACACTTCCTGCTCTGGAGGTTGATTCATGAATGAATCCACATTTTCATTTTCTCCTCCCCTTTCATGAGGGAATGACTTACTCAGAGCAGATCTGAAGGAAGTTGGCAAGTGGCCCCGCCAGGCCTCTCTCTACTGCTCTTGCTTAAAGTGAGGCTGGCCCTAAGTACTATTCCTGCCTCTCCTACCCTTACCACAATAACCTGTTCACAGGTTCTGTGAAATAGGCCATTTCCTTTTTTCTCTCAGATTCTAACCTGCCAGCAGATACCCTTTTCTTCCTTAGAGCACACCTGTGGCTTTATATACAAGCTCAGCAACAAGGGTTAGGAGGCAGGCTGTAGGTGAGGATCTAGGTATGTTCAACTACCCCAACCTCACTATTCACCGCTGACCCAATAATTGAATCAGCCAGAACCAACCATGTAGTTCCAGCTCAGAGTTTTGCTTGGGCTTTTAAGTTTCTGGAGGCATTTTCTTGCGCCCTCTAAAATGCTGTTTCCCAAGTGTTGTTTGACCTCCAAGGAGAGGTCCAGAATCTGTCACTCTCCAGGGGCTCCTTCCAGAAATAAAATCTCAAAATCTTTGGGATTAAGGGTTGGTTTAGCAGGCTATGGCATGTTAGAACTCTTGGCTGAAAAGGGAAGATAATTTGAGCTTCAGTCCCTCTTGGGTTTTTTTGTTTGTTTGTTTGTATCCTATAAAACAGTGGTTCTCAAAGTGTGCCCCTTAGACCAAGAACATTAGCATCCTCTTGGGATTGTTAGAAATGCATACTCTTGGGACCCAGTCCAGATGTACTGGGGCTGGGGCCCCCAAATCCTTGTTTTAACAAGCCCTTCAGGTGATTCTGGTGCATGTTGAAGTGTGAAAAACACTGTTCTCTAAAGAAAAGGTTCTTTATCTCTTTTGGAGCCGTAGGTTAGAGAATCTAATGAAGGCTTGGGGCTCTCTCAGCTGCTTCACAGACCCCCTAAGATCTGAATTAAGAATCCCTGCCCTAGATTTTGGAGCTTGTCCATACTGCTCTGGCTTCCACCTGCTGGCAGCCACTGCAGAAAAGGTAGCCACATATTCTGTTTGTACTGTCATACTCTCAGATGTCACGAAGGGTGTGCATCTCCTGTACCAGATAGCACAGGGACAGGGCTTGCTGCTCCCTCTTTGTGCAGTAACTGTAGCTCCCCGGCTCTAAACAAAAACCAAATGCTTAGGCAGGGGCACAAGGCCCA